GTCTGTAGTCTGTGTCTGTGTCTGTGTCTGTGTCTGTGTCTGTGTCTGTGTGTGTGTTGGGGGGGTATATATATATCTATTACCCGCTGAACGTTTACTCTGTATACTCCCATCGTTATTCTGCTTTTGAACAGAGAATAGAGCCAGAACATCCTTCTCTTTCTTATTCGCCTTACGAACGTATCATGGTCTAAACTCCCATCAACTTGTAGTGCGCTCGGCCTTGCTATGTGGGGAAATGACTTGTCCACAAGTTCTGGTGAATTATTTGTACTCCCACAATAGTGGGTGTGGTCTGGCTTACAAGTTTGGTCGCTGTGCTCGGCTTGCTTCGTATGTTTTAGGGTTTTAGGGTTATGGATATGACCTTAATCATGTTCAATTTAGAAGGCTATGCCCAAATTTAGTGTTTGTTTAGAAGACTATGTAATATGACTATGACATGATCTTCTTATGAGTATTGACAGTTCTAGACGAAAGGATTGTTGTTCTGATAACAAGCTGCCTGTGCATTGCCTCCGTGATTTTGGTTGGCTTCCTACCCGGGCAACACAAACGGAGTCTAAATATTCAGTACAGCGTGACTCCGGCCTGCCCAAGTCTCAACTTACATGTATGGTTGTTCGGTACTTTTCAAACAATATCTTAATTGTACTTGTATTTGTGTAAATTCTGTTACTCTAGTGGCCGCACCCACGCCGCGCTTGCGAAGGACCAGGGACTAATCACCTCGCTCCAGGTATGTAGAATCTGATACCACATTGTGTGCGATCTACTACTGTAGAAAGTTTGGTGCTGCTTATGAGTGTGTAATTATTCAAAATATAGCAATGTATTGGGTTGTGCACGTTATAAATGTGCTTTACCAGGAGTATGCGACCACGCTACCTCAATTCGGACTCTGATTTTGTTGAGGACTACTGCCGTGCGCATCTCAACCCGACAGCATGTGTTGAACGTATGTTCCATAGAGATTTATTCATACTGTGTTGAACGTATGTTTCATAGAGATTTATTCATACTTATACACCCTCATCTCAATTGTTTTCTACAAATAAGTCACTCGGTCCGTTCGAAGTTATCAATAAGCCTGATTATCTTCATCGCATAAATACCATCAACAGAAGCCTCATGGTACTGCAGTGCCGGATTGCCACCGACCTCGCTACCTCAATCCAAACTCTGGGTTTTTTGAAGACTACTGCGGCGCCTATCACGCCAGAGAGGGGCGATACTATCAGCCGCAGGCACCCATCCTTTCGCAGGTATGCGTGTGTAGTTCGACGAATCGTCTTTGCACTATGAACATAGTGCGTATATGTTTGCTCTCGCGTATGTATTTAGCTGTGGCAGCTAGTTGTACTGTGGAATTTCATATCATAAAGCACTACGGTGAGCTTTTATCTTTTGTCTCCCATGCATCAATATAGTCTTGCAAGAGGTCTTAATCGAACATAGCCTTTTTATTTATCATCTTCACGGACAAAACACGATTCTCACAATACATACCCGTATTCAATCTTCTCGCTTGTGTATGTACTGCAGAAGCAATGCTCCCTGCCTGGTTGTACACGGTCTGTGTTTGTGCGGGAATTTTGAAAGGAAGAGGACTTCTGTAGCCGCACCCACGCATCTCTGGCCGCGCAGAGGCCCCTGGAGAGTAACAAAGAAGAGGGTATCGAGCGCACCTACAGTGTAAGTGTATAGTGATATTTGTAGAGTCTGTGCATGCGGGAGGTGTGCGTGGAATTAGTGTGTACATGGGCTAATTGTGCAACAGTATCGTGTTGTTTTATCTTGTTGTTTGGATGGTGTCTTTGACCTTGGGAACCGTCGGATTCAATTCAAATGATTCAATCATGTATGTATCAGCACACACGTGGTCCTGAATCGCGTGTTCGTGAGATTGACTCCGCAAATATTCGGTGTTGCGAACATCGCCGACAACCGCCATGCAAGATGAAGGCTGAAAATTGTACACGTGATGTGATATTTCACCAACGTATGTGTCTGTTTACATCTTTAATTTGAACGTGGAAGGTGTATATGTATCATGACAGGGCCAGGGCTGGAGTATGGGACCGCTACAGAAAACTCACTCCAGTTACGACAACGTCAAGCAACAGTTTCTGGAGCAGTGGAAAATAACATGCCACCCACACCCACTGTACAGCGCATCTTCAAAATCTTCAATCGAGCCGAAGCCATAGAAAGGTGTTCTAAGTTGGACTACTTTTCATAACTGTGTTCCTGTGCCTGTTGACTTGCATACATTTTTGTCACTTCATTTAACGAACTTACCTTTCCCGCGTCGATATCCGTCTCTGGGCAGTTTCAGAAAAGGTTAGCGGAATTCAATGTGCTTTCGGGGCATACAGTTGTAATTGTTGAATGTTATCTAACTTCCAAGTAATGAGAAAGAATTCCGCTGGAATGTCAACACCATTCATTTCAATGCATCAAATCACGTCTGCCAACTCAGATTTGAAGTGCTGGAGAAATCGCTGGGGAATGTGAAGAGACGATTCCATGGCACAAAAGCCCTCTGTGGCTTAGGAGTGCTGTTGAATGGAGCTGCGTGTATGCGACCAGAATGCAATGTATGTTTATTGTTCATTCTCGCAGTATACGCGCTAATATTTGTCAAAAGCGTTCTTGCATGACCACATATGTCTATGGGAATGTTTGGGTAGAAATACATGAGTGTGTGGTCATATTTAATCTTGTATCTGCATGATATATTAGTAAGATATATATTTGTGTTGTGTGAAGCTTAGAATATGCTTTCAAACTCGTTGGCTAGCGTACTTGAAATGAACAGTATACTATACATTTCGTCGTGTGGGTCAGTTGCTCCGCCTAGATATATGGCCTAGATGTATATGATGTGTATACTCTCGTTTATAATATGAAGTTGACAGTGTATAAGGCTATTATATAGTCAGACTGCCTGTACTAATGTTGCATACGATTATGATGTCCAAGGCAAATGGGCAACACTATTTACCCATTCGCATCCGTAGCTTTAGGCTGCGATCTCTCGCCTTATCATACATCTGTGATCAGACTAATTGCGGTGAAAAAAAAATGGCGCTGGTTCGTTCTGAAATTTGTACAGACGTCACACGGTGTTCTGTTCGCAGCTTGTATAAGTTGCGATTGCTCACTTTATGGTAGCATGCCTGAACACACAGGGTTTCAATATCATCTTGTCATTTGTACCGCTATGTTAAAGGCCTAGTTATTCAGGCTCTTTCGGCGAATGGATTTTCTATTATTTTCATGACACCGTAAGTTTAGCATACTCAACCTGACATAACTATCGCATTTCTGTCACTTCACAGGCGTGCAATATATGTGCCAATGGATTTGAAGTAAGAGGCGAACACTACAGCAGATTCGGCGATGGGGTGTATACAAGCGCTACGAGTGGCAAATCAAACGATTACGCCGGGAACGATAATAAGGCACACGGCAAGACATTCCGGTGCATGTTCTTGTGTAAAGTTGCAGGTAGGGTAACATACGGATGCCTATTACAATTTTAAATCTGTTTTTTGTGTACACTGTGAAGATACGGTTGTTACTCATGCATGAAATCCCAGGTATGAGTGTATATTTGTTATATTTTCTATTCGTACGAAAGAGTGGAATGGTTTTGTTGTGATATACATATTTGTGTACTTTTGCTAATACGCGCGCACGTTGCGCTTCAAGCATATGCCCATGGTATATATTAAAATATATAAAGAGTATTGCCACGAATGCGTCTTCGAACCATGCTCGACTTTTCTCGCAATACTGATATGTAGATGCCTTTTGTTGCCTAAGAGCTATGATCACTTAGAAACCAAAATCTATAAACCATCAACGCGTCACAACTCCGAACATTCCATCAATACTCCAAACCTGCATTTTCAACCTTCTAATAATTGATCTCGTTTTACCCACGCGTTACCATGTTATTGTAACAGCCGGAAAGACTTACAAAATACAATTGGGGAACTTGCCCGCAGACCAATGTCCTCCACCTGGTAAGACACTCGGGTCAATTCTGATTCGTTGTTAACCGCGTCAGTATACAAAAGTTGGATGTTGTCAGGAAACGTGACGTGACATACTACTAGTTCTCTGCTATTATCGTCTTTAAATAGAAACACATACAGGAGCAACCTTAACCCGCAACATTTAACTCTTTGATAGTCTCCGTCGCAGGATACGACTCGGTCGTTGGAGACGTTGGTGGTGTGGGAGGCCTCAACTATGACGAACTCTGTGGTATGCCTGGTTGTGAATGATCACCTGAGTGTGACGATGCTTTCCTCTGTCTGTTTGGCGCATGTGGTGAAATGGTAGCACTCTTGAGCTTCTGTTGCGCTACGCGTGACGTCGCTGAGATTGTTCATACAGACATGCTGAGGCAATGTCATGATTCGAGCGTAAGGGTTTAGGGTTTAGAATCGCTTCGTTAATTTGCGAGGCGTCGTGTGAGTGTGTCACAGGTGAACAAATTGTACCCGAGTGAAGCTTTTTGACTAACGATCGTGCAAGCAGCGGTTGAGCAAGCTTGTACCTGTTTGTAAATCATTTCTGAAAAAATTGGTGTACTAATGCAACAGTTATTTGTTTCCCTTTCTCGCTCGTTTACGATGCAGATTCAGTCCTACCAGCATACTGGATTGTCTATCAGTTGAACTAGCATAGTCGCTGTTATGGTCTGTGCCAGTCGGATCTATGGACGCGGCATACTGAGCCACCTAAACCACTTTGGCCTCACATATAACTTCACATAAACTATAACGCAAAAAGTACGCACAACCAGTCCCGGTCGCGCTATCTTGATAACAGTGCTCTTGGTTGTGTCAATGACAAATTTTCCCGCAGTCCATTGACTAATGATTAAACTCGAGTTTGATACTGATTGCTTACAACAATAAAGATATGCGTCCGTATATAGTGGGTGTGCTTGTTCTGAATTCTCTAGAAGATTTGCGCGTGAGGAGAGGGGTCAGGAGTGCCCTGTTAGACTGGTGTATACCGTGAGTGTACCATGCTTTACGGTATAAAGCTAAATTTTATAGAAAAACTGCTGGAGTATTTAGCAGTACTAGCATCACTGATTAAGGGTGCTGACTTATGACTGTTGTCCAACAGTTGAGTCACTTGGAATGTAAATTAAACGGGATTGAGTAGTGTGTATCTGAAGCTGTGTATTGTTATGTTTTGTTTTTAAAAACGGGCCATCCGCATACACGATACAACCATGCCAATTTAATTATACACTAATTTTCTCTTGCATTACTCATTTCTCACAGGTCTTTGACTAGATAAATTTCAGATTGGCTATCAAGCGCTGAGAGAGTGCGAATGTTTAATCTGCATGATCCTCAGCAGTAGGCCCGGGACATTGGGTATCGAGCAGAGTTTCATTCTCGTACGTCCGACCGCACCAGTTGCAATACAGATGCTTACTTCGCAAATATTTCGTCACATCAACCAGCCATTGTGCCCGGAGTTCGTCTAAGCTACCCCCGGCAAATGGCTCGGTGCTAGACCCCCCTTTCGCCTCTCCCAGCCCTAGAACGTCTCGCGCAGTTACCAACTCGCCCTCAACACCCACCACAACAGTCTCCTCCGCCTGCTCTGTGCCAATGCCCGTTGTGCTCATGCTTGTGCCCTGCATATCCGCACCACTATTTGTGTGAACTGTAATACTTGCTGTACTTATATCGGCGGTATTGGCCGATGTAACCCCTCTCTCATCACCCTTCTTATCTATGGAACTCGTGCCATCCTGTGTGTGGCCGCTTGTCTCAAGGTCTTGCACACCTATACATTGCCCGGAAACTATATGTGCCTTCTCTCTCCCCCGGCCAAAACAGTCCCTTCGTACTAGTGAATAATCATCCACACCAGTCATGCCAATACCCTCTACTACACCCACTTGGTTTATGTCCAACCGCTTCCCACCAAAAGTCAATCTCCCGGATGAGTTCATACCCACAGACATATCTAAAGCACCCGCATACGTATTCAGTGCAATCGTATCGGCGTCATCTGACATCACAACTAGGCGCAACCAAACCTCACGCCTCGGGTCGAACAGTTTCCCCACTACAGTGCAAGTTTGCCCTCCATACAAGGTCTGGGAATCCTCGGTTGAACGTGTGTGGTGTGCGGTATTCTCGAGGTAAGGTGAACACCAGAACACAGTGCGTGCCAAGCCGACTTGTAGATCCAATTGCTCACATACTTGGCAACTGGTGTGTAAGTCCCTAGTGGTCGTCGCCCTGCAATCAAAATATATGGAGGGCATTCTAAGCATTCAGCGACTGTCTTAGCCATGCAAACATTCATCAATGCGTGTATATACACGCGACTAGCAATTTCCAAATAGGTGTCGTGGGGACAAGTCACACAAGGACAATGAAGTTTCTAGCCCGAACAGGTGACGATTGTAAGGATAGTAGAGCCGATTTTTGTATTCATTCAACCCTTCGAATTCAGCTAAATGAACAAATTGATATACGCAAGCTCAGCACTTGCTAAGTGGTCTCAAGAATATACTGCTACCAAAGTGATTTTGTAGACCATCATAATACAATATTTGTCTCGGCCTTGTGCACATAAATGTTTAAATGAGGTGATTCGAGTATCTGACATTTCTTTCACGTTGCTGTTTGTGTATAGGTACCCACCACTACACTTTATCGTGCACATGTGTACCGACCCATGCATCCCATCCTAGCCCTTCCTATCCCAACAATCCCCAACTCACACTTGTCTCTGGCGGCGCATGCGTGCTTGGAAATCGGTTTGCATATGGGCTTCATTCTTTGTTCGCCGTCGCATCAGTTCTATGCTCCGTTGTTCCCTGCGCTGCTCCTCTTCTTTTTCCCGTGTAGCCATTCCCAGCCCCGATTTTGGCTTCATAATCTCTGCACAGAAAATGTCGAAAGTTTTTCGATTCTTTTCATTCGTGATATATATGTGACAGGTAAAACATTGATGCAAATATGTAAGAATATTCATTCACAATTCAACGTCATAGTTATTAAACATGCTGGATGCCTTTGCCGTCACGAATGAGCCTTTATGTGTAACCACGCAGCACGAATACACCACAAATACACAAAACTCGGGACCGAAACCTGCGAGTCCTCAACCGGCTGATGTGTACTTTTATAGGTATATCTATTTCTGGAATCCTTCGTCACGGCTGTCTTTTACTAGCATCTTACTCCACTTAGGTATGTGGGTGTCGTTATCATAAATATACTATATGTCAACCCCTCCCTATTTCAAGCTAGGCCGCTACATGACTACCACCACTCGTTCTACTTATCGACGTAAGCTCAACTATCCATATGTATGCGTAACGCGTACGCAGCGCGATCAACAATTCTTCTCGCAAACAATACGTACCTATGCCGACTGGTTCCACCCGACCCCCCACCTTGCCCAGCCCATCGCCTGGCTTGTAGCCCATTTTGCTTAACATGTGAAATCCTTTGTTTGTCGCATCCAGTGGTTTGCTCATACCCTCCTCACGGCGTTCTTTCTCTAGTGCTGATGCGGACTTCTGCCGTTTATGTTCAGACTCCAGCTGTTTCTTGGCTTGGCGCTTTTGCCGCTGGACCTTTGCGTTGCCCAAGCGGCCTGCAATACCATACAAGTGCGGCATGCTCGATTTGAGAAATCGCGCACGACACATTTGGTAGCGGGATTTTCTAAGACCATTCCATGAGAACCTCTTTGTTGATATGCTAACAAATCGAACAAGATGTCCCTGAGACATCAAAAGTGGTCACCGTGGAGGAACGATTTCTAGTAGTAATTGGGAAAGACATCGACTCAAGTTTTATACAAACCTCAGGCCCTTTCATTCACATCCGTTGTTTTGTGGTTGCTGAATGCATAAATATGAAAGATATACCATACAGGTGCGGCATGCTCGATTTGAGAAATCGCGCAGGACACATTTGATAGCGGAATTTTCTAAGACCATTCCATGAAAACCTCTTTGTTGATATGCGTCAGAACACTCGCGCTAACAAATCGAACAAGATGTCTACCTTTCCTGAGACATCAAAAGTGGTCATCGTGGAGAAACGCTTTCTAGTAATAATTGGGAAAGACATCGACTCAAGTTGTATACAAACCTCAGGCCCATTTATTCACATCCGTTGTTTTGTGGTTGCTGAATGCATAAATATGAAAGATGTCGACACAAATATCAAACATCCAAATTGAAGTTATCCGTTACCGCAAAAAAAAACCCCCCCCTCGAACTGCAGGCTTTTGCTTGAGACATAACATGACCGACAACACAAGTTTCTTTGTCTGTTCTTTTCTTCTGTATAGCTGAATAAGATCTCCAAATCAATTCTCACCAAATTGAATCTATCGAGGCACAAATAAAGAGCTCAGATTCGGTAAAGGTATCTGAAGGTATTATCATACAAGTATAAAACCCGATACCAGACAAATTTAGACACGATAGGAGTGATTGAATTTGACTATATATATATGTATATTCTCTTATGTATATATATATATATATATATATATATATATATATATATATATATATATATATATATATATATATATATATATATATATATATATATATAGTAGTAGTATATA